GTGTGTGGGCAAGACAAAGAGACTAGTTTCTATTTTGATATTTTATTTTAAACAAGACAGATGATACAAAAAAAAACAATATTACAAAAATAATTTACAATTAAGGAGCAGCACACAAAGCATGATGCTACTCAAGGAGAATAGTTAACGAGAAGTTTATCAGCAGTCATTGCATATCTTATTTTTAATATTCTAGTCATATCGTACATATTTTTGGAATTCAGTCGTTTGACTGTGAAGTGCTTTTACTAATAAATGGTACATCTATCTATCTAGCATGATCTATAACTAAGGAGAGATTTGAGTGGTGGACAAYTTGCGTCCATGATCGTAATGTAGTAATGTTTAATGTCCGACAATGAGGACTGGGCGGGATTTCAAGTCCGCGCAATTAGTTCCAGTCCGACTTCTCATACTCATTAATTTTTATTCGGGAGGGAAAAAAAGCGAAGGAAATACATATAACAGAAATATTGATTTATTGCATCTCCACTAAGGTTTTCATTTCTAAAGTGATTGACTTGATGAAACGGTAGCAACTTAACTAATTGTCAGAAAAGCAGAAGTGGTAAGGGATTTGGACGATTTGTTTTAAATTTTGCTGGAAAACAAGGTTTCTCTACCTTGGCATGTTTGAATTCGAGCCTGGTTTTCACTAGTGACTCAACGACAAGTGCAGAAGGAAGCACATGATGTTGCACATTCGGTGTGTTTTGTTTTCACTACAAAATCAAGCGCAAGCACAAGAGTAAGCTTAAGAAAATAAGAAAATATCTTGTGTTTGCTCTTGCACTTGAGTCATCACTGCGTTGATTTTCATTGGGAAATTATCGCTGCCAATTGCGCTTGCGCTTACTTCTCTGTACGCATGCTCCTACTTGCGTCGCTGGTCTTTTCAGCCAATGCTAATCTTAAATTTGGCAATATAGGTGTAAGTAGCTGGTCTAATCGTTTTATCTGCATGAAAGGATATTGAATGTAATGACCTAGAAAAAGTGCAGAGACCGTCGGATAAGATCG